GTTATCATGACAAGAGGAGGAAAGCACTTGAGTTCCAAAAGGATGATCATGTGTTTTTGAGAGTTACTAATAACTAGTGTTGGTCGAGCATTGAAGTCATGAAAGTTAACGTCGCATTTTATTGGTCCATACCAGATTTCAGGGAAGATGGGAGATGTGGCCTATTGGATTAGTTTACCACTATTGCTTGTGAATATTCATGACGTGTCTCATGAGTCTCAGTTGAGGAGATACATTATGGATCCTTCGCATGTGATCCAAGTGGATGATGTGCAGGTGAGTGATAACTTGACTGTGGAGACGTCACCTATGCGGATAGAGGAATGGAATTTGAAGCAGCTTCGAGGTAAAGATATTCTTTTGGTGAAGGTATCTTGGGGAGGACTAGCAGGTGGAGACGTGACTAGGGAGCTCGAGAGTCAGATGATGGAGTTATATACTGATATATTCGTTTGAGGTAATTTTCGAGGGAGAAAATCCTTTTTAGTGGGGGAAATTTTAACACCCTAATTTTTATTAATTAGTTATATATTTTATTAATTAGTTATTCGTCTGATTTTGCAAGTATATGATTTATTTAAATTATTTTATGTATGTTATATGTGACGAGTTAGTCGGGTGAGACTATTGAACTGTTGAGTTATCGTTAGGAACTGATGTCAGTTAGCGAAGGATTAATTAATTAGTGAGAACTATAGAGTAATAGTGGAATAATGGTAATTGAGCCTAATATGTGAGAATGTTAAGAGTAAGTGGGGGTGTGATAGTAAGTCCATTAGTTAGCTACTAGAGATGACATTTTTTGTTGATTACTAGAGATAAAATTATTTTGTTAAGGGTTTGATAAAAAAAGAGAACATAAGATTAGTAAAGGGAAAAGATGAAAAAGAGAAAAACCTAGAGACAAAGGAAAAAGGAGAAAATAGAAGAAGAAGAGGAACCCTAAGGAGAAAGTTCAAGAGTTCATCGGAATCAAGGTCAGTGTGAATTTTTACATTGTTATGGGAATTGTATGATAATGTATGATAGGTAGATTCATGTTTAGGATGAAATCCCTAAATTTCCATGATTTTAAAATTGTTAGTTATGATGATGAATCCTTGAATATGATGAGTAATAGTGTTGTGATGTTTCTATTTGAAAATACATGTTAGATATAGATTATAATGCCTTAAATTATAGTAATTTGGATGTTAAAAGATATTTTTGGGTGTAATAATCGCACATGGAGAATGTTGTCTGCGTAGGAATTTTTTCCTGGTTTCAGGTGATCCCGCTAAAAACAACATTTTTATAAAATTTTAAAAGCTCATATCTTTTGAACTGTAAGTCTAAATCGAAAACCGTTTGAAGCGTCGAAAAACTAATGAATAGAACTATAACATAATATAGATAAGAGAATTGGCCGTTCAGTATTTTTATGTCTAATATGTTTAGAAATTCAATTGTGTATATGTTCTATTAATGAATTGTTGCACTGTTTGCTGCTGGTTGTGAAATTGATTGTGGATAATTAATTGAATATTTGTGTGTGTACTTATATAAGTATGTTTTGGAGTGTGATAACATGAATATATGATAGTTATTACTTGTTGTGATGATAATACAGTTGTGATTGTATTGTAAAATATGTTGTATACCATTTGAATTCTTGTACATTTTATGAATGAATTGTGTATGGATGATTCATAAATATGTGCATGTATGTGTAATTGTATGATAATTAAATTATGATGAATTATTGAACATATGCATGTATGTTAAGATTGAGAGATGGTCTTGATTGGATGTGGTTGTTGAAATTGCACATGCATCATTGTTGTCAAGAGGTATTACTTGTTAGTTTTGTGAGAGCTAGTGACTTATCCCAAACCTAGAGCGGGATTTGAAAGTTTAGGGAACGGGCTTTTTGTGTGTTATTGGTCTAGGGAACGGACCCGGTTTAAAGTAAAAACCTAATAAAAATAACAGTGATTGGTATCACGTGCATGAGTCTTGCATTGAGTCATATTGTGTCTATTGTTTGCAATACGAAGTTGTGTGCATTGCGTGAAATTGATGTATTGGTGAAATTGTATAATTGTGAATGTGTACTCGTGAATAATATGATTTTATTGGGTGATGTTATATTGATAAAGCTTATGAAGTGTGAGAATATTATCTTTATGCATGTATGCTATGTATTATATATTATTATATGATTTCGATAATTATGTGAATTCTCACCCTTCTGTTGGAATAATGTTTTATACGACATCGCTCAGGTACTGAAGATTAGAGTTGCTTCTAGTAAGAGTGTAGTCGGAGAAGCTATCTTATTTTATTTCCGTATTTTGGGTTTAGTCATGCTCTGATGTTATGTAACATTCAGAACCTCAGAACTTGAAAGCGCGAAATCTTCAGAACCTTGTCTTCAGAATCTTCAGAATTTGTTTCTCCAGAACCTTATCTTCAGAATCTTCAGAACTTGGTCTTCAGAACCTCAGAGCTTGAGAAATCCTCAAAAGCTCTTCCATCAGAGTCATAAACAAAAGCTTTAGACTAACGTTCATTAGAACCATTGTTTAGAAGCATTCTGGAATTTGACAATGTCTTTGTAACATGTACTTTGTATCTCTCTAGAGTCAGAGTGTGTTGATTCTAAAAACGAATGACATCATACGTCATTCTATTAGAGTCAGAATCTCTGTTAGCAAAAGTTACAAACTAGACAAAACTATTAGGGTACAAAATTGTTCTCAAACAAACAATATATTGTTACCATCAAAACCAAAGACCATACGCATAATCAAATCTTATTGTTATACTAAAGTCCCACATCAACTAGGAATGAAGAAAATATTGAGTTTATAAGAGAAACGATTCATGTCCCAACTGTCTTAAGGTTTTGGGTGGATATGTGGTGTCAATGTCTCATGGATCATGGATATTTAATCCATTGACATTTCTAACGCTCCCCAAACTCCTTAACAAGTTGTATCTGAACCTCATTAGTTCAGCGGAGGAGCAGAAATAGGTCCTAGTGTAGATCAAGACTAGTGATATGAGTGACTCACACTTGTAGAAAAGATTGTTGGATTTCGGAGGAGCAGAAGTAGGTCCTAGTGTAGATCAAGACTAGTGATATGTGTGACTCACACTTGTAGAAAAGATTGTTGGATTTCAAGTATGAAAGTGATAAAGTCTTACATCCACAAGAAATAAAAGAAATATTGAGTTTATAAGATAGGTGACTTATACCCTCATTGCTTTAAAGTTTTGGGTGAATATATAATGTCAAAATCTCTTGAACTATTAACATTTAGCCCATTGTCACTTTTTACGCTCCCCAACACCCATCTCTTACATTTTCCTATCTATCCTAGCCATGTAAACTTGAAGGTGTTATCACTCATAACTAGGGTTAAAATAAGTGCTTTTACTTTTAATACTCTTTTTCATGTCATTAAGTATTCATGAAACAAATTTGTTGATTGTTTAATTGTTTCGTACTGAAATTTACATGGGTCACAGACATTGTTGAGGGTACAATTAGTTGGAGGAGATACCTTTCATCATTTAATTAGTTCATTGATTTGAAATTATCAACACTCCTCTAATAAGTCTCATTAAGCATAGGTGGCTTGGTGTAGATCAGACACTGAGGGTGGTGGAAGGATCATGGTGTAGATCAGAAACTGAGGGTGGTGGAAGAATCACTTTCAGCCAAAGGGAAATGAATGTAGAGGCAAAATGTGTGATAAAAAGATGGTGAAGTAGGGATTGTGAGGAATTACACACATGTTCTTTTTTTTACTCATCTAGACCATTAATTATGTTTTAAATAGATCTTATGGTCTAAAAAGTGTACCATTCAAATTCCTCACTCTCTGAGAAAAAAAAAATGAATGGTTGAGATTCCACTGCAGGAAAATGTTACTGAAGAGAATCTGTTCCCCCTAGCTATAGTGGTTTCTTTCTGCTTTTAGGTTATAATTATTAGGGCGGAGATTTTGGTCCCCAAGTATCGTACGTAACGGTCCCCGCGTATACCAGTTATGTCATAGTGGTGTTTATGTGGCGGACATGCAACTCAAGGGACCCATGCATATCGATATATCCTTTTCCATCTAAAACAATACTAGTACTGTACATCTTTTTGAAATGATATTTCGTATTTATGCTTTAAATTTACTCTAGATTTTATTTCGGATTTTTGTATTTCATTTTTCTACATAAATACACTCTAATCACACTATAAATAAAAAAATTCTAATTCATTGAACAATTGATATATCAGATATATTAGTTGTAACTTTTTAAGCAGAATAAAAATTATTTAATAAGTACGACTTGCAAATTTATTTATTAATGGATAAATTATCCTACTAGAGTTTCCTTTCTAACCACTGTTCCATATCCATATCATCACACATGGATGAAAATGAAGCACTACCAGAGTTTCATTTGAGGAAAAAGCTCCAATTTTCAAGTTCAAATTAGAATCAATTTTGAAGACAGTAAATTCTATATTAAGAAGGTAAATCTGACATGCATTAATTTCATCTTTCTAAACTCACTTTTGCCTCTCAAAAAAGTATATCTGACATGCATTAATTTCATCTTTCTAAACTCACTTTTGCCTCTCAAAAAAGTATATCTGACATGCATTAATTGCCAATATTGAGGCTAAAGTTTGGAAAAAGTTGAGCATTATGTAGGACAGAAACATGATTGTTGAATAAAACCGCTATTATGCATCTTAGATAAATGAGCACGCGTTTCGTTCTGCAAATTTCATTGTCTAGACTGTAAGCAAAATCCAACTAGTTTTCACAACTCTCAATCTGAATTAAGTAGCTCCTCTATACCAAAACAAATAGTTTTGATATAAACTCAAGAGACCTTACTATAAAGACAGCGGGGTCGACTTAAAACACAAACGAATTTCTAAAATCAAAAGGCATAGCAGAAAAAGTTGGGATAGTTGTCAAGAATTCAACTAAAGACAGAGTGTCATGCTACCTTTGAGGAGCTCCAGAGGGAATAGGATCCTGGATTGTTGAACTACCCTTCCCCAATGCTGAAATACTAAGAGAACGTTTTTTCAATCTGGCTTTGCCAGATGGTGGCAATCTCCTTTCAACCTTTTCCATAAGCAAAGAGGAATATGGGTAGAAGGAAGAGTCTGGCAATGGCTCACTTCTGGTTCTAAGGAAGAGATCCAGGTTTTGACGATACTTATTTTCCTGCATTATAGTTCCTAGGTCCCCATCATCAATGGCGACTTTACTTTTGAACTCTTCATCATCATCTGAACAATATCCATTTTCAAGTACATCTTGCATTGCTAAATCATCATATTCTTCATCAGACTTCGTTGATTCCTCATCAACTGAGCCTACCTGAACAACACGAAAAAAGTATATATTAGAAATAACTCAAAAGTTAACTCAGGCATTCGCTATTTAATTAATCACTTTGGTACAGAGTGTCAATTTATTGACTTTGAGAGCATGGGCAACACTGAAGGCAACCCAAATGGTTTGAGACTGTTTATATTGCTAAATCTCATAAAATATACAGACATTTTAGATAGGTAAAATAATAAAGGCCAATATATAGAACTAAAACACTACCTCCTCATGAATATGTTTGTCACCGTCGTCACTGAAATCATCATCACTTCCCGCCTCTAATTGATCATCAATCTCTTCATCACTACCATGCACTGAAAGGTCCTCCTTAAGCTAAAAAAGTTATAGCAAAAAGGGAAGAAAAAAAACCAAATGAGGGAATAATTTCTATCTGATATTTTCCCATTTGACGCTAACAAGCCGTTAAAATTTTCATGTTGAACAGAAAGATAAAAATACGTTCCAATTTACCTCCTTTGAAGGTCCATCGGACATCCTTGGTGAACTACAGCAGGAGGAAACATATCTACTACCTGTGTCAGTCCCATCAGCTTTTGACTCATCAACACTTCCAGCACGGCTTGTTCCACCATCGGAGGGCCAAGCACTGATGCCATAAAAACCAAACTGAAGGTTTACAGGTTCTGCCTTACCGATCCGCAAGGGTCCATACATTGGACTTCCAATTTCCTTCTCTAGTCCATGGCCCCATATAGGCTTCCCATTACAGTCCACTGAATTAACAGGCCAAGCCTTTGCCACTGACCCATCATTATTAACAAGAGCCATAAGATGCCTTGAAGAACCTTGTCTTTGGATCAATTGAAACATTCCTTTTGAGCTCAAAGAATTGGCAGCACATTGATTTCTATATTCATCATCAATAATAGTTACAATATTTCTACTAGGATCATACAACTGTTCCCCAACTTCACGCCTACGTAGACAACTGAACACGGTGGCATGGATGGCTGCTACACTCTTGTCAACATTTGTATTGTTTATTTTGGGAACTAAATGTTTGTCTGCCCGCTTACAGAGATAATCCTGGATTGTTCTTATATTTCGTATGTACTTCACATATTTGTTTTTAGCTGGGTCCAGGGTCATATACTTTGCACGTACGGCAAATCGTTCCATGTGCTTGTCCTCGTTTGTAATGTATATCATGAAGGGTATGATTGAAGGATGTTTCTTCATAAGCCCCATCTGCATGACATTAAGTTAGTGTTTTAATGTGAAAATAAAAGTAACACAATTAACATGCATAATAATCCAAGTATTGAAGGACCCAAGAGAATCAGACATACAACAAAGTTGAGACTCAAGTGAACACCCTCAACAACAACAGACTCTTTTCGCTCTTCCCATGCAGTGATTAGCCTATCTAGACTGTCAATCACCATTTCACACTGGGCCTTGAATCCTTCAACAGCCATTTGTTTTGAATTCAACAGTTCAGTCGCACCACAGACCGCCTCCAATGCATGTATGTCAGATTTGCCTAAGGTGTGACCCTCAGTTACTTCATCCTTAGGGAGCGACTGTGATACACTAGCCATCTTTTTTGCTTTCTTTTTTGCCTTTGCCTTTGCTTTTGTAACAGCAACAGGATCCAAACACTCGCCTGCATGGTAGGTAGAGGCCCATAACAAGGGGTTTTCCTTTTCACTAGCAAAACCTCTCATCATGTGCCTAATAGAATCAGTTGACACAACTGTTGTGATTCCCAACCGACTTCCCTGAAGTAAAGACATAAATAGAAATTAAGTAATTAAACTGTAAGATATAAATGGTACCAAGTTTCATTTTTATTATTAGTCACTGCAAGTTACATATCCTGCCGCAAGCTAAGTAAAAACTGGCCCTACATATTTATCATAGCAAAAAGATATTACTTCTATTTGCAAATATACCAGTAATGCAGACAATGTGGATTTGCCACAACCGCTAGTGCCACACAGCAGCACTGTCACAGATTCCTTCCGTTCTCGGATCCTGCCATCAGGGAAAATAATCACATGTTCGAGATGGGAAAATTGTACTGCATTTTCAAAATTGTGACAAATTGAAGGTAAAAGTTTTAGTGAGCTCCAAATGTTTCTATGTGGTGCTCATGTTGAAATTCAGTAATTTCCCCCATAAGGTTAAAATATTTTCTACAAAACAACCACGAAGGAACATTTAATCTATTCATTATCTTGATTATCTTGTTGTTAAACCGTACAGAACCAGAGGTAGAAAATGTTTACAATAACAAACAGAAATGAAGAGTGAATTTTTTTGACCGGCAAACTAGACTCAAATTGGCTTGCCTGTGATTTGTAAATTTGAGAGATCCATCATTCTCCTTTTTACAAGCTTCTTGCAAATCAATACAGTTTCCATGTAAAATAAAAAATCTTTCATTTGTAACATTGTCAACTTTGACAAAACAAATCTTATGGCTAGTCATTAAAAATCACAACCACAATAGAAAAATACGGAAAATCGTCATAGGAGTTGATGCCACAATCACAATAAAAGAATTTAATCTTTTCTTCTATTCAGGTTCTATCAAAATAGTTGCCATAAGATATAAATACCTGCAAGCTAGCATCAAGTCTGCTCTCTGGTTTGGACCCACATACTTGTACTCAGCCAGAACATCACAGACAATATCTAGAAAAGTTTCTCTCTTAACAAATACAGTCGTGCGCTTTTTGTACAACTCAAATGGCACGCTCTTACTTTCGTCATCTTTTCCTAAAAGTAAGCAAGAAGAAGCTTCCTGACAATCTTTTTGTGCATTTCCTTTAGAAGTATCAAAGCCTGATAAAACCATTCCTTCGGACTTGAAAGGCTCAGTAGAACTCCCACTCCTTGTGAGTTCAAAAACCCTTTGGCTGATCTGATAAGATAAAAAGTCAATTATAAGAAATATGAGGACTAACTTTCAATGGAGACGTAATTTAGATCTGCAAGACATGAAGTAAATCGACAGATGTGATCTAATGAGTAACAACCACAGATATTAATGGCAGATGCCATATTATGGCTAAAATTCTGCAATATAAATAGTAACGTGAGCTTGAGGCCTACAATGGAAACATCGCAGATATAATGGATATTGCGGCCGGCGCAGAATCTTCCATTTCATAATGACATGGCGACAGTTTTTTGTGGGTAGCTCCATGTTCCAGCTCGAACCACGTGGAATTGATTATAGGTGGACCATGCATTACTATAAACACTCATTTCGAAGAGATGTCAGGTGATAATTAAGAACCTAAATCGAGAAGATATATACTAGTATACCACAATTAACTGGATTCCAGCATAGATTGTAGATAACCTAACAGGGAAACATATCTTCAATTTAGTCTTTGACAATAATGACCAATCGATGTTAAAAAAGAAGGCATGTGGCAAGACCAAGACAAGACACATTTGTATATAGGATTGAACCTAAAGCTCGACACTAGATGTTGGAGCTCAAATTCCAAACATAAACACAAATGGACAAACAAAATATCCACTATAGTCCATTGAAGTTAACAAGATTTTAAAAAAAGGTCCAAATTTGAGCCACTGTAGTTACTTGAAAGTGTAACTCAATTAATCTTCCACTTTAAACAAATAAATAACACCAAAGAATGAATAAAAAGGATGAACTTTACATACATGCTAAACCCATCTACAGTTTCGTGAGGAACACATAATATTATGTGACTGTTTGCATCAGTTTACATGAGTTTATCTACTTGCATAAGCACTTGTAAGACTGTTTAGAAGAACTTATGAAAACAATGTGTGACATGTTAGTAAATTATTTTTAGCTTATTTCCATAACCCTTCCAACATAGCTTAAGCGAAAACACAGTTTGACTTTAATTTATCTTCTGTTATTGAAATAGCTTATAAGAAATGCAATACATGATAAACGCTTATGCTATAAGCTGCAAATTAAGTTGGTTTATCCAAATCGTATTCTTCTTGCCGTCTCCATGTGCACAAGATAAGGAGAAAGGTAAACAAAACCCTCAAAGTCAACAAAATTGTGCCCCAGAAAAATGCCAAATGATAAAAACACAAATGCAGACAAATAAGTCAATAATCCAAAAGATCAACAACATCAAACAACAAAAGTTCACTGTAGCACCCAAGCCTTTGATAAAAGGTGTGTCTGTGTCACAGTGTCCGAACCTACACAAACACCTGTGATTACGTTTAATTTATTTATTTTCTTAAATTATTATCGGTGTCGACGTGTCAGACGTGTCAATGTCGCTATCGTGTTTTCAGTGTGTCGGTGCACCCGATCTCCTATCATTCTATCAATGAACGAGCAGAAGATTATCAAACCACAATAATAAACAATCCACAAAGAAATTGAAAACAAACATATTATTGTATAATAACCAAATTATGAAAATAAAATTAGAGCAACCAACAAAACCTTGAAAGCATGACGAGCTTTACATCCCATAAGCTGCAGTGTACTCTGTAGAACCGGACGCGTATAACGAAACGACTCCTTCTCCTTCAACTTCCCCTTATCTTTCTTCTCGCCTTCATCCACCACCACCAAGTACAATATCTTCGACACCTCAACCATACCTGTAACAAACAAACAACGCGATCCAATCCAGATTCAACAAATCGGTAAACAAAAAGATAATCGATCACACCATTGCAATGGCGAGAGATTGAAAACCTGAAACGTTGTTTTGCGTTGGTAGAAAGGTTTTGGATTGGGATCAGAGAGGGAGAAAACGGTAGGGTTTGTTGAAAGGTTCCGGATCCGCCATTCTGAAATGCGGTTTTCTGCGACTGTTGCGTCGTGTTGTTGGCGTTAGCGATTTCGGCATTCTTTCTTCTTGCTCTCAACTCTTTGTGATGCGTCACGCATTTTTTTTTTTTGGGTGTTCGGTGTCCGTTTCTCAATCCCGTTAAATAAATAAAAAGGGATTTATCTGAATTTTAACATCTATACTAAAATTACTTCAATGCTAAAAAACTAAAAGCGTGTTATATTTTTTTTTAATATAACATGAGTTTTATTTATAAGAAATAAATTATGAGACGAGATTCAACGTAGAATCTACTCATTAATAAAAACATATATTTATACTATAACATTAATTATTATGCTCGGTCGATATAATTTTTTTTATACATTTGATATATCGTAATTATTTATAAATATTAAATTATAAATAATTAAAATTAAAATAAAATTTAAAAAATATTTAACAATCACGATAAATTAATAATATAAAATTATTTTATACTACAATGGATATCAATTAAACTCTTATATTATTTATAATAATTAAATTATTTTTAATAAATTATAAGAAAAATAAGAAAAAATGTAGATTGTGAAATGATTGATGTATTTGACCTTTGAACGCTATTGAAAATATCAACGGCCAGGAAGCGTGCTGCATGATGACGTGTAGGTTTAGTTGAACTTTAGAATGCAAGCATGTGTTTTAATAAATATGTAAATAAATGTGTTTTTTTGGGTAACTTAGTTTTTTATTTAAAGAAAAACTAAATTAATTGAAATGTTTCTCTTATGGGCCTTAATATAATTTGGCTCATCTTCAATCCAAATTCTAAATTTAGTCTGAATGGCGTCATTTGCTAATTTTTGTGAAACCTTTTTTTACCTTTTTTTTGAGGTTGTTATAGATTAACTCTTTTTTATGTTCGCACTTGAAAATATTTGTTCATTATCTTTGTTAGAATCTCACTATCTATTGTTAGAATCTCACTATCTATTTCAAATTCAACTTTTTTAAAGTTGCGATCAATAGCAATATTCACTACAACCTTTAGAGTAATTGTCTCCTCCATGAAAGGGTTGTTGTTCTCTTTGACTCTTTCTCTAACAACCATCGTCTCACCCCAATAATCCCTGAAAATGACTCATATTCCCCCAAAACCATATTCTTTTTAGACTCGTGTCCATATTACCTTTGATCCAACCGCTCTCTAGTTTTCTCCAATGAGATTTAAGATGATTTTAAAGGTAAGAATGATTCTTGTTGTAATATACCATTTAAACCACTTGTTTATAATCTTAGTTTTTCCTTCATTAATATTTAGGTTTTTACTAAATCTCCTTTGCATGCCGTTATAACCCTTTCGTTGTTGATACTCTTTGGTCTCTTCTATAACCTATGGGTTATGATGATAGCTTTTCCGGATCATTAATTGTTTTACGTGTCCATTTTGTTGCTGCTATATTTCTCCTTGATACTGTAGTTAACGTTTTTAACATGTTATGGTCCTTTTTCTTCATATGAGAGCCTCCTACTTTTGTCGTTATTAGCATCTTGGTTGTTTTGAAGGTTTTCCTTAACTTCCTAGTCTTTTTTTCTCTTTGGTAAGCAAGTTTGGATTCTTCTTATCATAACTGATATTGTTTCCTTCGTTATTACTTTGGATGTGGTGGTTATCATGTCTTTAAGCAGAGTTATTACCATTTCAATAAGCTTCTTTGCTATTTTGATTTGTTGTTTGGTGATGCACTTTTTTTATGGTTTTCTGCATGTTCTCATATTCTCTACTTGTCATATGGTTAGTCTTTCGCAGCGGCAACTTATCATGCAGTGTATTGTTATGAGTTATTTGATTGATAATATTATCATCTTGATGATTTGTAAGAGCCTGCATGAGATCAACATTGTTGTTCTTTTCATCCCCATTCATACTTGTAGGTACCATCTTGTCATTATTACCACTTTCATTATGCCATCTATGATGGCTATTTTTTGTCTATTCTTACTGATGTTTTGCTTCTTTTTTTTATTTCTCCTTTTTGTTATTATTGTTCTGATTATACTTCTTTTTTGCATGATTTGTGGCATTCTGGAAGTCATTAAACTTCTGCTTGGATTTATCAATTGTTTCTTTTACATGTATATCTTTCTCTTCATAGATAAGCTAGTTTCTAGCAAATCAAATAGTGTCAATGAGGTTGCACATTTGAGAAATGCATTGTTTATCTTTTGTGTCTATAGTGTTCCTTACTTAATCAATGAAACTCTAAGCATTATTGAAACCACCAGTCAAACAATCATCGAGAGAAAATCAATGAAGTCGCCGTCGAACATTTTTCATCCCCCCGAACAGGAAAGGTGAACATCGAGTAAATATGAGAAGGGTGAAATCAAGATCTCGCAACCGAGAGATACGGGTAAGGGAGTCGATTACACAAGGAGAAGGTATTAGCACCCCTCACGTCCATGATACTCCACGGGATCCACTCTTGTTATTCTAATCAAAGGGTGTGTTCTAATCTAAAACTTACGAGCTAAAGGAAAAAATGTAAAGAGGGAATGCATGCAAAAGAAAACACGAGGAAAAGAAGAATATTTACAAAGTTTTGCTCGCCTGGGCCCCGCGACCAAATGCCTACGTATCCCTTTTAAGGAATATGAGTATCGTAGTTCAACTCAAAAGTTTTCGTTTGCTTTGTGTTTTATATGAACAATATTAGTTTCACTTCCTACCGCAACTCGACCTTCGTAGACTCACGCGTTGGCATTGGAATGAATTAACATGTTCTACCTGAAGAGGTATTTTCAAAAGAAAAGTGCCTGAAGGCGGATAATGCTACATTCATGCTCTAGCAAGTAGACATGGTGCCACACGACCTTTGGGGATTTACGCATCGTATTGCATATAGTAGAATTAACACATCCTTTTGAGAGTTTCAAAGAAAAGCCTGAAGGCAAAAGAGTTTGGATTGGTTGATGTTTTTTATCTTGAAAAAGGATTTAAGAAATGTTAGAGTTTTTTATGCATTTGCCAAAGAAAAGAGTTTTAGTTTTAATCATGAAAAGGGAAAGAAAAACATCTAAGGGAAGTTATCTATCTTTATCCCTAATATCATCACACAATGATTGATCCTATAGTTAAGTTTGAAAGGGAAGCACTACCTATGTTAGCATTCATGGATTACGATCCTAATGTCTAACTTGCATCGAAAATGAAACAAGTGAATCCTAAGGGAACATACAAAGGTGTAAAGAAAAGCACAAGCACACGTGCAATCAAACAAAATCGAGTCGAGGCCAAAACAAAATCGAATGCGAGCTAATAACAAACAAATGATTCCAAAGTATCTCAAAGTGGGAGTAAGTAACTCTTTCCACTTGATTTGCTCGAGCATCGATATTGAGTAACAACTCGGAGCGTCAACGTTTGAAGAAACATGGGCTAACATCGTCGAAAAAAATGACAAAGTGTGGGGGTAGGTTACGAACCCCTTTCTACTTTATTTGACTCAATTAACAAGAATAGGCATGGTCCAAAGCATCAACATAAAACACGAGTTAAGAACGACACAGACTAGAATGTGTGAGGGTTGATTACAGACCCTTTGTTCCACTTATTGACTCGATAGCAAGTACAAAGTAAAAGGGGAGGGGATTTGCCTTCTTTTGAGGACTTTTGCACACAAACAAACAAAAATATTGCCTCTTTTGAGGAATTTTAACAAAACAAACATCGCCTCCTTTAAGGAATTTAAAGAGATTTCCCACCTAAGTTAGGGACTCTCAGTCATGTATCTCTGTTCCTACTTCTCATGGCAAGGAAAGCAGTAAATGATGTGGAAAAATAAACCATAATTAGTATAATACCAAACGAACAAGAGTTCGTAGCAAGCAAGAAAAGCATAGAAACCCAGAAAACTTCGTGCAAGCTAGCATTAACAAACAAAATAGTCAGAGATCAAGCGCTCAGAATAGGGGCCAAAATATCGACAATGTGAAAATAAATCACATGCGAAATATGCATCAGACACATCAGTGTAAAAAACGATACACCTGCACAAAAATTTACATCCATACAAAAACACGAGCAATGTATATATCTCATAGAATGAGAATCAAAATCAATCGTGTCGGAATCAAACTCAAATCCACAAAGAAAGTGGAATACGATTGCTTTTCAATCGAATAATCAAGACTTAATTACACAGTTGAAAGCTCTCTCGAAATGCCTTGCACAAGTCAACAAACATGTTAGTAATAAAAAGGAAGCATAACCAGAATCAAGTATCCTCATCACAAATTAAATCAAGATTAAAATGTGAAGAAAAACAATCTAAACAAGCATTGGAACATCAACATCAAAAATTGGGCAGCATTGTCGTCAACACATGAACCACACAAAATATCAATCCAAAATCGTCACAACTTGACATGGATGTCGTTCAAGCACCAAAACAAAGTCACTTGAGCATTAACCATTAATTAAATCATGACTTATGCTTAACTTACTAAAACGTGACAGCATTGTGCCGTATCACAAAATCAACCGAAAAATCGTGTCAAAAACGATATAATTCAACATCAACGGTCCATAAATGCATAAACATGCTCTAGTAAGCCTAAAACAACTTTTGAAAAGTTATTTACAAGCCATTTACAATGTTCGGGCAGCAACATATACATGCATCGAAATCAGATAAAAATGAATTTAAAACTCACAAACGGATACACAAAAATATTCATTGATCCATGTATCGTCGTTTAGAAATTACAAATGCTTTATAACAATTAAATCCACATTCAAGTAATGATTCCAAGCTGTAAACACAATTATTCAAGTATTGATGTAATTAATCGGATCGAAGCATTTTAACGTTGGAAAAATTAATTCACCATCAAATTGATTAGAAATTGCATTAACACATGAAATCTACATCAATTCTCATAAAAAGTTCCATAATCAAACATTTAGATCCAAAATTCGGTATTCAAAATCAACACCAATTTTACCGATTAAAATCAAGATCTACACCGATTAAATCATCAATCATTATTCTACATGATTATAATATTATCAATTCAAGAATCAAGAGTCTTTAAATAATATTCAAGAATTCCATTCAAGCTTATATAAATTTCTCAATTCAACAATCAATTAACTCAAAAAACTTGTCAATTAGTTTGAACAACAATTAACAAGTTGTAAGGATCAAAGAGTTACCAAATCGGAGCCAGAAAATGTTGAGTCAGAGCAAGGAAACAAGGAGCTGGCCGGAAAATGTGTGAGGAGCGGAGGAAGAAGCTTCACGTCGGGAGATCGTGCGAATGAGAGGGAAGTTCGATTGGACTTCGCAGCCAAAATGACGGGAGGAGTCGCCGGAAATCATGCGATGGAGGGAGAAGAAGAAACCGCGAAGACGGACGGAGAAAGCGTCGAAATCGCGTAGAGGAGAGGTCGAGCTTGAAGAAGGAGGAGTTGAAGTTTTTGATTTTTGTTCTTAAGAAGTTGAGAGAAAATTGAGAGAGAATGGAGTTTGATCCTGTGATATTTGAAAAAATGAGTGAAGTTGTGTTGAAATTTGAATTTCAAATATTTATAGAAATGGCTCCAAGTCTTGTTTGGCTAGTGCAAATGTTGATTTTCCGGCTTATTTCATGTACTAGTCGATATCGAACCATAACATCATGACATACGTGCATAATCTTGATGCGCAACCTGAAACAAAATTGTCGGCGACGAAATTTGTGACGCGGTGCCAAAAGAATCGCTCTGATATGAAAAATTGAGCAAGTTAAGATGCTCTAAACGACGAGAAATCAATGTAAGAATTCCATGTAGATTTTTCCAGCTTATTTTGTGTATTATTCGCGAACAAACCACAAGCTCATGACTTTCGGTGTAGAATCCTGATGCGCAACCTGAAACAAAATTTCACCAATGAAATTTGTGACGTCGTGCCGAAAGAATTGTCTCGATACGATAAAAATTGAGAGAGCTATGATTTTTCGAATGGTGAGAAACAATGGACTTATTTTGCTGTCTTGAAATTTTTAGCTTATTTTCATGCGCACTCTAGGAAGCAAGCCACAAACTTAAGCCTTCCAAGTGAAATC